TCCTCCTCCTCCTCCTCCTCCTCCTTCTCCTCCTCCTCCCCCGCCACTCTGGGTAGGTGCCGGGCCCCAGGGGGCCGCCCGCGCGCGACGGCCTCGGGCCGACGGGCCCCGGGGGCACTGGGCCGAATCACGTCTGGAGGCCCGCGCTGCAGCAGGAGCTCGACCGCAAGAACCCCCCGCACAAAACAAACAAAAAACATCCCCGACCCCGACCGACTCACCCAGACCTTGCTCGCTCCACTGCCCATTGAACAGGGATGCGAACTCCTTCGAGCGAGCCTCGAGGAGCGGGCGCTTGCGCTGCTGCCGCCGCCTGCGCTGGCCCTCCCCGCACGTGGGCGCGCAAGCGGACTCGTTGCGCAGGATGAACGAGGCGATCTGCTCGGCATACTCAGCAGCGGCTGGAGGCGGGCGGGTGTACTTCACCTGGGCGACCGCGCGCCTCGTCTTCCTCCCCCGCCCCTTCCGCCCGCACCCCTGCCCCGCCATCGGCATCGTGGACATCATCATCAGGAGCGGCATCATCATCTCAATCCTCCACGTGGTCACGTGGTCCCACCCTCTATCCCGGCCCTCCTCCTCGTGATCCTCGCTCTCTGTTTTTTCCTATTGAAGCGAAGCACCTGCAAGCAGCCGTCGACGCACAATCCTATTGAAAGTTGCAGCCGTCGGTAGTGTCCGTTGTAACAGAAGAACATGCCACTCGTGTACAAGTTCTCGGCGATGGCCAGCCCGGGCTGCTCCACCTGCGAGACTGATACCAGGTGGTGGCTGTGGTTCGAGCACAGGTGCAGCTCGCACGCGCAGCCCTCGCGGACCTCCCGCGGGGCGGCGGGCGAGGCGAGAAGCAGGAGGGGGCTGGGAGAGGAAACAGTGCACGTCAGATCTCTTGACCCTCCGCCATCTTCGCCCCCGTCCGCCTAAAGGCCCAGGGAGGCGAGACGGATGAGGAACGAGGCGGGTCAAGGAAGCTGACGTGTAATGTTTTCGCATCCCAGGGCCAAGGTGACGGCGAGGGCAATGGACCTGCTTGCGCGGAGCGGTGCCGAAGTGGTAGCGATCGTTGCCGCTGGCGCCGTCACACTCGTGAGACCAGCACCGAAGGTCAGCGGTCGTGACTATGTCGATGACGGCGTCGTTGATCGGTTGCAGGAGTGGGTGGCGACAGATCGCAGCGCATATATCACTCGACGATGTTCCGACAAGGGGCACGGGTGGCATCACCAAGTCCATGCATAATACAGGTGCACCCGGCCCCCATGACACAACCAACCTGCACGCGTTCACCATCGCCTCCACGGAGTCCTTCTCAAACGAATCACCGACAGGCAAGGTCACGACCTCCTTGGTTTCGTCCCAGCGGCGGCTCACCGTCACAGACCAGGGGCGACGCTGACGGCAACGGTCCCTGACGTGATGCAGCCACTCGAGTTGGCTATGCAGGTACGTCGCTGCAATAAAGTTAGTGTTCCGCCGGACAGTCGGAGGGGTGACGTCGAACTCTCGGGCGAGGCATTTCACCTTGGTGGTGGCGGCGTATGCCATCTCCACGCGGGTGCGAGGGCCGACCGCCCATCGACCTGGGATTTGGGCGCGCGAGGAGACCAATGTTCGAATCGAATGTTGGCCTGAGTGGACTGAGGAGCAGGGGGGGGAGAAGAAACTGCAGGGGGAGGAGAAGAAGAGGAGGAGGGGGGATAAAGAGGAGGATGCACACCGCCCATACCAAGGGCGAATCAAGCTGCATCCAAGAGAGTGTACCAGGGGGCTGGTAGCACTCGTGGCGACGCGAACCTGGCCAGAGCAGGATTGGTCGATAATTGTAGCTGGGGCTGACGTGAGAGGACACGCGAGAGGGCGCGCGATCATTCCGAGACCCACGCTGCCATGGGAATGTAAATGTAGACGGCATGGGTCGCGAACCGCAGGACACAAGAGCACCCTTGCTTTGGCAGGGTCGACGCACTAATCAGCTCGACGGTAGCAGCTGTAGCAGGGCCGACCTCGACCAGCATGGCCCGGACCGATTAGGAGCATAGTGGGCGAGCACGGGGTCAAAGAAGGAGGAGGAGTCGCACGAGGAGGGAAGAGGATGTGACTGAAGAGGAAGAGAAGAGAAATGCAAGGAGGATGGGGGGGAGGGAATGGGCGGGCAGGCTCGCCCGACCGAGGAGTTGCGCGGGGGTGGGTGGGTTGGGGGGGGGGGGCCGAGACCTCCCTTGCCCAAGACGCCCGCGTTCTTCTTGCCGCGGGCGGCGAGGACGAGCCGGGAGCAGCGCCGCTTCGGCCGGTACGCCACAACCTGGGCAGGGGCGGCAGGGGAGGGGGCGGGGGGGGAGGGGGGAGAGGGGGACTCGGACTCGGATTCCATTCGGCCTGGCAGGAGGGTGTCGGGGGTCGGATAACCCGGGGGCCAGTCAGACCCGGGCCAGCAGGGAACCAAACAAACTGAAACGCAGGAAAAACAAAGGGCTGCAATGCAGGGTTTCGCAAACCAGGGTCAGCCAATACGCGCAGCCGCCTCGCGGCCACGAGCGGCTCGCTGACCCGGGTCGGCCAGGGGGGGTCTTCGGAGGATCCCGCAGGATCCAGCGCCTTGGCTGACCCCTGCTTGCATTGACCCCCGTCTCTTGAGCCCCGAGGGGGGCGGCCGCCTCGACCCCAGCCCGCAAGGCGCCCTTGGCGTTCACCGTGGAGGCGTACGCGGCCAGGGCGTCCAACTGCTGAGAGCCGCGCATTCCCAGCGCCACCCGCGCACGACGAATGGAGCGGGTCGGCGTTTCAAACATAGGTCCCCGAGGGCCCCCCCCCCCGCTCCAAGCAAACCGTCCGCGACGGACGGTTTGATTGGAGCAAGCCGTCTGTCTGGGCGCCCCAAACAGCGTAAATCCGACCTCAGGCCCCATCCCATCCATCGGGCACCGCCCCTCAGGACCCCATATTTGAAATGCCGACCGGGAAGATTGCCATCGGCAGCGGCGGCGGCGGGGGCGAGAATTGCGGGGCGTAATCGGAGAGAGAAGGACGGGGGGAGGGAGGAGGGCTGGCTCTTCCTATTATTCCTCCGTCCTCGTCCCGCCGCCACCCCCCCCCTGCCCCCCCCCTCCTCCTCCTCCTCCTCCTCCTCCTCCTCCTCCTCCTCCATCCTCCTCCTCCGCCTCCTACGCATCCTTCTCATCCTCATCGTTATCTTCCTCATTCTGAGCTGCTCCTCCGATTCCTCGATTCCTCCACCATGCCCCCCCTCTTAGGGGTGCGACGTCTCATGCAGCCCTTTCGTCCACTGCGTGCTCTTCCACATCCCACATCCCCTGATCAGGGCAGTTCGTCTGGGCATTCTTTCTGATGGGCCGTGGATTGGGGCGACGACGAGGAGTAGGGAGACGACAAAGAGGAGAAAGAGGGGGGAAACAAAATATGCAGGGCCTCGCTGCGGCTCCGCGACAGCGCCCTCTCCGTCTTGGCCAGCCGCATCTTGACTGCGTGGGCGGCGGCCGCGGCCGTGCCTGGGGAGGCGGGCGGGGGGGGGGGCACGCGCGCCCCTAGGGCGCGAGTGCGATGGGCCAATTCCCCAACGCCACTACCGCAGGTAGGAGGGGGGGTGGATGGGGGGGTCCTCACTCCTATTTGCGTTGGCCAGATCTCAGGTGTGAACGTGTGGCGGTCGAAATCTGTCTCGCCTTCCCCCCTCCTCCTCCTCCTCTTCCTCCCCCCTCTCCTACCCATGGTAGTGGCGGTGGAACATCGGCTCATCCTAAAAGGTCGGGGAGGGGGCATTGATTTCGGTCGCGACGCGCCTCGCTCCCTGTGCGACCCGCGCTTGGGCGGCATCGCGAGCGGCCGCCGCGGAAAAAAAGAGAAGGCAGAAAGGCATTTAAAGCCTCAGCCCAAAATGGCAGAAGCGGAGAGGGGGGGAGAGGGGTCGGAGGATCGCGCCGCATCACCGATGCATCGGCGACCAGCGATGCGTCGTCGACGTCGGCGATGCACCAGCGACGTCACCGCGAAGAAAATCAGGCTCCACATCGAGCCGCATCACCAATGCATCGGCGATGCCGCGCGATCCCCCGACCCCATCTACGCGGACCCCATCTAGGAGGCCTAGAGGGGGACAGCTGGCGAGGGGAGGGGGTCGTGACGGGGGGGAGCCGGGGGGTGGGGGAATGTGGGGGGGGGGGCCTGGGGGAGGGGGGCAGGAAGGCGGGGCGAAGGGGAACCAACTCTGGGACCCCCTTGTCCTGTCCCCCCCGCACACCCCGATTGCCCCGTTTTCGGAGGGGGGAAAGCAGGGTGAGTGATGATGGTGTTGATGATGGTGACGATGACGACGCTGATGACAGTGGTGGTGATGGTGGTGGTGATGATGATGATGATGGTGATGCTGATGCTGATGATGATGGTGGCGAGGCTGGTGTTGACGTTGACGCTAACCGACAAAGTAATGACGCGAGACGGCCAGTTGACCGACAAAGTACTGACACGGTGTAGCCAGGCCGCCGACAAAGCACTGACAAGAGACGGCCTGGCCGCCGAAAAAACACTGACAAGACGTGGCATGACCGCCTACAAAGCACAACGCGTTGACACGGAGCGGCGTGGCCACCGACGAAGCACTGACAAGAGACGGCCGGACGACCGACAAAATACCGACAAGGCGCAGCCAGGTTGCCAACAAAGCACTGACAAGAGGCGGCCCAGCCGCCGACAAAGTACTGACAAGAGACGGCCGGGACGCCGACAAAGCACTGACAAGAGGCGGCCCAGCCGCCGACAAAGTACTGACAAGAGACGGCCGGGACGCCGACAAAGCACTGACAAGAGGCGGCCCAGCCGCCGACAAAGTACTGACAAGAGACGGCCGGGACGCCGACAAAGCACTGACAAGAGGCGGCCCAGCCGCCGACAAAGTACTGACAAGAGACGGCCGGGACGCCGACAAAGCACTGACAAGACGCAGCCCCCGCCGCCGACAAGAGTCGCCCACATCCAGCTTAAAGGGACTGCTCTAAAACCTGTTTCGCGTCCCCCCCAGCCTACCACGACATGTCCCTAGAATCCAAAACTGTTCTAAGACGAACATAGATTCTTAGAACATCGACCTGACGTGTAGAAACAAGACCGTCTCAGCCAGAAATGTTCTGGGAACTATTCGTGCAGGCCACAAAGGTTCTTAGAACATTATTTGGTGGGCCTATAGGCGAGCCAGGACGCTTCGCCACAGCTTGATCCGTCCGGTGTAATGAAATGCATTCGGACCCAGGCTAGGAAAGACGAACCTTCGTCAAGAACATGAGACCAATCCGCCGACCCAACCACCCCAAATCATAAGATCATTCGAGGGTACTCTGCCCCAGGAGGTACAAGAACATCCCACAAGCACGATGAATGTCAGGCTACCCTTTCCGAATCGACCTCGATCTAGTACCCAGGCCCGACCGCACTTGATGTGCGCGTGGTGCTGGACCACGAGGCCCACGACCGCCAGCACCGCGACGCGCCTGTGCTTCACCTCCGCCTCGCGGTATCTGTCGAGCGTCGCCTCGTCGCCGCCCCTGCAGGAGCCCGCCAGGTCCCACAGGAGCATGTCCTCCTGCGGACCTAGGAGGAGCATGAGGTCGGGCATGTCCCCCTACATGCGATTTTGTGGCGAAAAATAACAAGCACCCCAAACATACTCCAGAATGGCCAAATAACTGCTCAAATTTCGTCCCCAGACTATTTTCTGACTATTTTTGAATATTCCTCCTGTGAGGGGACAGGCCCAACTTAAGAGACGCAAGCAACGGCGTGCACATCAAAGTTTTGGCGCTCCGCGCGGGTTCCCTGGGTCGGCACGGGCCCCCAGGAGGAGGAGGAGGAGGAGGAGGAGGAGGAGGAGGAGGAGGAGGAGGAGGAGGCGCAAGCAACGGCGTGCACATCAAAGTCGTGGCGCGCCGCGGGTTCCTTGGGTCGGCAACTGGGCCCCGGGGCCCCCCCCTGGCGCGCGGAGCGCCATGGGGGGCGGCAGAGGAGGCGCCGCTGAGAGAGCGCCCAGTGCCGACGCGAGAACTCCGCGCGACGCTCCGACAATACTCGTAGGTCGGGCACGTCCCCCTACAATACAGGCCTCCTAGGATGGGGTCCGAGCAGAGGTGGCGGAGGACTGCGCTGCATCGCCGATGCATCGCCAACACATCGGCGATGCATCGGCGATGCATCTGCGGTGCTTGCGACCCGTCGGCGCCATCGGCGAGGGAAAACTCTGGCTCCACATCGAGGCGCATCGTCGATGCATCGGCGATGCGGAGCGATCCTTCAACCCCACCTGCTCGGACCCCATCTGAGAGGCCCGGATACAAGCAGACTTTGGAGGAACAACTTAAAATAGTCAAAACATGCTCAAAGATAGTCAAGCATTGTCCAAACATCGTCCCCAAGCGATTTTTTAATATCTTTCTCCTGTAGAGGGACGTGCCCGACTTAACACAAATTTATGCTTGCGCCATATCTTTTCTTCCTCCACGCGCGGCCTGCATGCACTCTTTCCCTGGATCGTCCCGTATCATCCTGTATCGTCCTGGATCGTCCTGGATCGTCCTGGATCGTTCCCTGGATCGTCCTGGACCTGTTTCTCGTCCTGGCTCGTGTGATCACAATCTCGAAGGCCCAGGCAAGGCCCCCACGGGCTCCCACTGGCAGAAAAGCCATCCGTCCGCCATCCTTTCTTTTCATGACCCGAGGGGGTCCTGGTCCTGCGCATTGGCGAGGGGCAGCGTGGCCCCGATCCGCTCCGGGTGCGGCTTCCAGCCAGACGCTGTGCCTAGGAGTGACCAGAATCGAACCAAGAAACGGGATCGGCAATCGACATAAATCGGATCGGCGAAAATCGGCAGCCGAGTCCGGAGAAGTCGAATCGGCGGAAATCGGCAGGCTCGCAACCCTCGGTTGAAACATCGGAGTCCCAATCGGAATCCGAAGTCGAATCTAGAAGAAGAGGAAGAAGAAACAACTGTATAAACATCAACTTTTGGCGCGGGTGTCTTGGATCTGCGCTGGACTCCCCTTCCTGGCGCGCTCCGCGCGCCAGGGGCGGCGCCGGAGGCCGCCGCCAGGGGGGCCCAGCGCAGATCCAAGAAATCCGCGCGGAGCGCCAAAAGTTGATGTTTATGCCGTTTCTCTTCTTCTGAGCACCCCGCGGCGTGGTCTGGGCCCCACTGGCCGATTTACCCCCCTAGATGGGGATATGGGCCGTTCCCTTCGGGTCTCGAGGGGTGTATCCCCAACTGGGGGGGTAATTGGGTGGGGGTCTCGAAGGGGATGGGTATGGGGATGGGGGTCGGTTAAACTGGACAAGCGCGTTCCACTACTCGCAAATCAACTACTCGCAAATGGCCTGGATCCGCCGCGGGGACTTATTATATATTACAAAGAGGAAGACCTGTGTTTTTTTTTCTGAAGTTTGCGAGTAGGCACTTTCCGATCCGTGGAACGCGCTCGGCGATAAACGATACGGATCTTCGAGCATCGAAGTCCAAGCCATCGATCGACATCGGATCGCCTCGCCTCGGAGGCGCCGGCACTGGGCCCTGCGCGCCTGCCGCCGCCGCCCGCCGCGGCTGCGGGCGCGGCTGGCGCCGCCCGCGGCGTGCGCGCCCGCCGCTCGCAGCGCGCCCGGGCCCGCGCGGCCCGCGGCGGGGCTCGGCGCCGCGGGCGCGGCGGAGGCCGCGGGCGCGGACCAGAAAAAAACGGCACCACCCCACCCACGGCACGAGGGGCCTTGGCATTCCGGTGTGGGTTTTTGCCTGGTATGCGCTACGGCGCGCGATGGGCCGTAGCGCAGCCTGGAGGGCCGTAGGTGGGGTGGTGTCGTTTGGTTTTCGGTCGAGGGCGGGGGCCGTGGGCGTGGGCGCGGCGGGTGCCGCGCCAGCGGGCACGAAGGCGGCCACCATGGCGAGGCCTTCGAGCCGGGGGTTGCCCAAAAGGCGTCCCTGGCCCCCGGTGCCCCCCAGCTTCTCGCTCCATCTTGGAGCCCCTGGGGCCCCCCTGGGCCTCGCGAGGGGGGCTGTGGAGGCCGTGGGGGCCTCCCTGGAAATCTTGGGGGCTCCTTGGGCCAGGGGCACTTCTGGCAGCGCCCGGTCGAAGGGCTTTGAGACCACACGGGGCCGGGACGGGGGGCGGCGGGCGGGGCGGAGTGGGAGCACAAAAGAACCGCTCGAGCCGAGGGAAAAAGGCTCCGGCGCCGAGGAGCGGCCAGCAGCACTGACCTCCCCGCGGGGGGCGCACGTGCTGCGTTAGAGACGGAGCCCTGAAAATTATGGATTGGTCTTAGTATTAATAGATTCCCATCATCCGTGTTCAGATTACTTCTCATCTTTATGGTCATCAGTATTATTCCTATGACTATTATGATTCGTATTATGAGTACTATTATTGTTATAAGTATCCTTCTTCTTATTCGTCTTCTTTGATTATTATTATGACCATCAACATCGTTCCCCTTCTCCTGCTCCTCCTCCTCCTCCTCCGCCTCCTCCTCATCCTTCTCCTCCTCCTCCCGCTTCTCTCTCTCTCTCTCGCTTTCTCTCCTTCTTCCCCGATTGTCCCCCCAAGGGTTTCCACACCAGCTCGGGGAATTCATAGTCTATAGCTTGACCAGGCTTTGGCCTAACGTTTGGCCACATAGACGTTTGCAAAAGGCATTTCGATCCGCCACCCCCTGTTGCTTGCAAGAGGAATGCTTGGCGCACCAGGGCTTGATGACCCTTTGGGCCTGTCCAAAAGGTTCCGACTGCCGGAGACCCCCCAAGATTACCTCAAGAGGGCTCGAACTCGGCCCCAGAGACCATAGACTTCCAAGACGGTCCGAAGGCAACCAAAAAGACCCCAAGACAGCCCAGAGGGGGCCCCAAGACGGCCTCCGAAGGCCAAGAAGCTCGTTCGAGGCCCCCCAGAGGCCCCTTGAGGCCCCCAAGAGGTCCCTCAGAAACCACCAAGAGGCCCCAACAGGGCTCCCCCTTATCCTTTCTGTTCTCCTCCCTGTCCTCCTCCTCCTCCTCCTCCTCCTCCTCCTCCTCCTCTTCCTCCTCCTCCTCCATCCCTTTTCCTTAGAAGTGACTCCTCCCTGTCGCACCCCGAGGCGTGTCGGTAGGGCGGGCCGGGCGTTTCTCGTAGGATTTCCTCGCCATGTGTGGCCATTAAGCTTAAACCTTCCAGCAGTTTCCCAAACGGAGGGCGGGCCGTTATCACAGTTTGGTTCTCGCCGTAGCGCCGCGCGCATTCGTTTGAAAAATTGGCACGGGCTTCAAGGATTAAGTCTTTCGTGTTCTCCAGAATTTGGTTCTCTACTCAGCGCTGCGCACATTCGTGTCAGAAGTTTGCAAGAATTTCAAGGATGGAGACCGGCTCCTTTTAAACATGTGGCTCTCGCCGTAGCGCTGCGCATGTTCGTTTCGAGAGTAACACCACATTCAAGACATCTTGCGGTTGACGTCCCAAAAATGGTGTTTTGACACGATGTGAAACTGTCAGTGCGCAACAGCCATTGCTTCGCAGTGTAGAAGTCCTGGGAATGGTGTTCTGGCGCGATCCAGCATCGTACAGACGCAACAATAACGTTGAAGCTTTGAAGCTCCAGGACTGGTATTTTGGCACGGTTCAAGATTTCTAGACGGTTGTCTTCCAACGGGGACTTCCTTCAATTCATATAAGTCCTTGTCGGAATCCATGAAGGGGGAACTTGAAGGGATGGTTTATTGCAACGTCGTTGATGAGTCTTGGGATTGCATAGGTCCTCCTCCTCCTCCTCCTTCTTCTGCTCCTCCCTCTCCCTCTTGAAATTGTCCCCCCAAAGGTTTCCACACTAGCTCGGGGAACATCGGTGATCACATCGTACAATACATAGCTTGGCCAGGCTTTGGCCTAACGTTTGGCCACATAGACGTTTCCAACAGGCAGGGGGCGGGGTTTGTTCCCCGCACTCAAGTGCATTGGATCACGGCGATTTCTTCCAGCCACAGTACAGAAGGTCCTGAGTACTGATTGGGATGTCCACAAGTCCCCTCAAGCCCTCTGTGTCGAAGATCATACTCCCAAGGGGCCAGGAGCCCCAATCGCCGGACCTGTTGTTGCTCTGCTCGCAGAAGCCAGGGAGCGCCAAGATGGGCCAAGAGGGCCCCTTGATGCCCCAGAGACTGTCCAAGAGGGCCCCCAGTCAGCCCAAGCACGCCTCAAGGCGCTCAAGATGCCTCCCAGACGGCCCAAGAGGCAGCCAAGACGTCTCAAGGGGGCCCCAATATTATCAAAATAATTTCCCTGAGGGGGTTGGAAGAGTTTGGCGCACTCGTGCTTTCGAGCTCCAGAAGCCCCAAGGAGGCCCCCAAGATCTCCGTAAGACGACACAAGACGCCCCCAAGAGAGCCTCAGCAAGGCATGGGGCCCCGAAGACAGTGCAAGAGGCCCCGACGACGGCCCAAGAGGCCCGTAAGCGGGGACCAAAAGTCTGGGAAACGTAAGACTCGGGTACGGGGGACTCGGGTTGGGTTGACGGGGGCCATCATACAAATGACGAGACCCAATCTGAAATTTGACGCGGGCTCCCGCTGCAGATATCCCACGAAAAGCCTGCCCGTCAATCTTGCAGCTCATGAACATGCCTGGTCCTCGAAGGCCACAGCACGGGTCGAACAGCTGCCGCGCGAGCACACGACGCTCGGGATCGAGGAGAGCCCCTCGGGCGAAGCTGTCGCTCCAAACTGGGGGAGGGGGGAACCCGTCCGACCACCTCCGCTGAATTCGACAATGCGGGCGAGAGGGACAGGCCCGACTTAACGGCAACCAGGCACAGGGGGGCGGCCGTCCACAGGCGACGGGGCGCCCTCCCTAAAATGGCGGCCGGCGCCGCCTCGTTCGGCGGCGGAGATCCGCGATTCTATGCCGCCACGCTGGTTCCGGGCAGGCTGTGCTGCCCGGCGGAAGGGGACGAGGAGGGGAGAAGCAGGCAGACGACGACGAACGCCCAGGCGGGAGGCCAGGGCCGGCGGGGCGGGCGGGCAGGCAGAAGACGGGCCAGGCGGAGACAGCAGGCAGGGAGCAGGAGGAAAGGAAAGGGAGGGACGCAACGAGCAGAAGCAAAGGGAGGGGGAGGAGGGGGAGGAGGACAAGGAGGAAAGAAAGCAGCGGCCGCAAGCAGACAGGCCGGGCCAGGGGCCGGGAAAGAAGAGCCGCCCGCGACGAGGCTGCGGACCCTACGGCGGCGACCTGGGCGGGGTGGCCGCCCGAACCCAGCGCGATGCGGCTTGGTGGGGATTGCCCTCTGCGGGATCCATCCACCGCCCCGCCGGGGAAAGGCCGGGCGGCGCGTGGGAGGGGTCGCCGGCGCGACGTTGGCGAAAGGGCGAGGGGGGCGCCCGCGCTGCCCAGCAAGGGCGGGGGGGGGGGGGGCGGGGTGCGCTAGGCAGCGCAGGGGGCACCTCACACGGCGTCTGCCGTGGAGGCCGCCGTGGCCGCGGCCAGGCGGGCCGCTGCCACCCCCGCCCCTCCAGACAGGGTCTGAAGGCGCCGCAACACCGCCCGCGCGTTCTCCCTGTGCAGGGAGACGGAAAGTCGCTGGGCATGTTGGTCCGCAACCAGTGCGGCGTCTTCCCCCGTGGCGTCAGCCACCCGCTTGGCCAGGACCCCGAAGGCCCTGCGTGCCTCGCGGCCCCACCCGCCGCCGTGGGCTTCCACCACCATGGGGAGGAAAGTGAAGCCCTGTGCCGCGCAGAGCCGCGCGGTGTCCTGGTGCTGCCTTTTGAACTCCTCGTACCGCTCCGTCGCTGCGCTTGACGAAGCGGCCGACGCGGCGAGGAGATCGGCGCGCAACCCTGACGTGGCGGCAAAGTCCCAGGCGGCCGCCGTGCCGTTGCGCCACCGCGGCAGGTAGACGTCGGCAGGGCGGCGGCCGTTGTCGTCCACCTGGGACCCGCCCTGCTCGCCCCCGGGGGTGGCCTCCCCGGCGGGGCGCGCGGGTAGCAGCCCCGGGCGCTCCAACTCCGCCCCGGCGTGGCCGGCGGCCAGGGCGTCGAAGAAGGCCTGGTTGCGCAGGGCGTTGTGGCGTTTGGTCCGGTCGCCGCGGCAGGCGCAGACCAGGGCGTGGTCGCAGAAAACGTCCATCACCTCGCCACAGGCTGGGCAGAAGCACTCCTCCAGCATGCCCGTCAAAATCCAGGACGCGATGGTCAACAAAACGTCGGCAAACCCGTGTTCCGGCTTACTCGAGTCTTACACTTCCCCGAAAGAGGATACCTCTGGAGAGCCTCTCGGAGCCTCCCCCTGCAATTGGCCCCTGGGCGCTCGACATGACAGCCTCGGAGGTTTCCAAGAGGCCCCCAGGAAACTTCCAAAGGCCGTAAGCCCCCTCAAGAGACCTCCGAAAGGGCCGCCAAGAGGCATTCCAAGAGATCCAACAAGCATCCAAGAGGCCTCTGACCAGAACGCAGGCATGGTTGCGGGATGGGCCGAGGTCCACTGGATAATGTTACAATGGTGATGCGTGCGGCCTTGGTGATACCGAGTGTAATCTAATCGTGCCAACGGAGCTGACAAATATGCGGGTGTCGTCTGATTCAAGCTCACGAGCTTGCAGACTATACGACATGGTGCTGCGTGCGAGCATGCACACGCGATGGCGGAACAACAT